GCTGAGACCGTTAGTGTGATGAAGTTATCCTTCCCCAGTGCGTCTTTTCCAGGGTACCATTAGTTCCGACTAAATCTTGTTTTTAAGAACTATAACCCAAATATCGTCTAATACTCAGTTTGTACTTAAAAGAATGTTTTGCTAATTCTAATCGTCGACGTCTTTTTATGGATGACAATGCACGGCCACACAGGACTCGTAATGTTGAAGAACTTCTGGAAAGTGATGATATGCACAGAATGGATTGATCAGCGTGCTCCCTTATTTAAAATCCCATCGGACATGTGTGGGAAACTCTAGGAAGACGCCTGGCGGGGCTTTTTTACTTTCCAGCGAACGCCTGACAATTGAAGTATTATACCTCTTACCCCCAAAATTGTTAGATAATCCTGGATATCGATAGACGGTGCAACGCAGATACTGCAGCTAAGGAAGGTCATATCTCTTACTAAAGCTTTTTCGTTTGTCATTCTCACTCTTGGCCAGAAAGTGTTTTGTACCAAAGTACCAAAAAGTGTTTTGTACCCCCCTCCCCCAATGGCAGGCACATGGCTATAACGGCATTGGCCACACCTAAGACAGAAGTGGTGGCTGTGGAGGCACCTAATAGCCGGCCTAATAGCCGGCCACCGCTACCTCCTACAAAGGGTCGGACAATTTTTACATCCATGCCTTCTCCGGGATTCGAACTCAGGCCGTTCGGTATCGCAGTCAGGCTTCCCTAACCACTATACAGTCCGGAAGACTTTAATCGGAAATTTATTCGCAAAACGTTAGCCGAGATTCGAAAAGATATATCCATTCTTGTAAACTCAAGGGTTATTGTGTTACTAATTTTATAACACTACTATATTCTTTATCATGAATTACTGAAAAAATTACATTAAGACTGATTGAAATTGATGCGCCTTAATGTAAAACACTATTAAGAAGATTTTGATTTCTTTACCTCCTATAGTTTTTTACCTTCACATAATTCTATTATTAAAAGTCCTTCGTACGAAATTAATTTAGAATTATCGCAATAAAAATCGCAGATTAAATGAAAGAGTACGATAGTTGTTGTAAACACAGCTGTACGCTTTGTTATGTGTATACATATTTTCACATGTACAGTTTACGTTTTAATTAGGTATATATTCCGAAAATATAACAATAAACCTATGTAAAACGTGTTTTCTACCCCTTATGTTTTGATGGAAATTTTACGCTGTCTATTAAAATTGAATCACAGCAATTATTCCTTTTGTGATATTATGGCAAAACTTCTTGCAGAAAATTTACTGCAGTTTCTTCTACTGGAAGCAAATTTCATAACTGCATACTTTAAAACTGAGTTTGAGATATAAAATATCACGATTTTGCTATAAATATCATTCAGATTTGGAATGCAATAAAACGAATGTATAAGACGTTTCTTACTAAAACTGAAGAATTGCGCAACGTTGCCCGAAGAATTGTTATGGCATGGTTGCCACACTTTGGCGCATTTTGAAAATCTGGCGACTTCTACGTTCATTTCGCTAGCACGTAAGTACCAAATAGTGAAGTTAGTCAAAATGGAAGATTTTATAAAACAGATCAAACATCATTCTATGAAAGCATCGACTTCGAATTCTCGCACAATGGGCAATAGTCGCACCAATGACCATGCCTATATTATGGCGTGAGGAAGGAAAAACTTGCTAAAATGGGATCCAAAACATTTGTTTTTGAATGTTTCTTTTTGTAAAAAACCGACTCTGACTTAAATATTTTGTCCTTTTCAATTTATTGATTAATTTATATTGAATTAGTAGATAGATTTTGATTTGTAGATAGATTAGTAGATAGATTTTGAATTAGTACATAGATTTGGGTAGCTTAAATCCGAAACTGGGTAATACAGTCAAAAGTCGTTAATTCGGACACCCATAATCCGGAATGATCTATAATCCGGACCTCAAAGCTAAAAACTTTCTGCGCATGCGCCGCGTTGGCACATGGGCACAGGCGTTTTACGCGTGCGCGTAAGACCTTGAATACTGCGCATATGCGTGTGCGCAAGTGCAGAATATGTTTTCGCCTGCGCGTTTAATGTATAACGGACGGTGTAAGCTAAAATTATCTAATTATCTATTTCAGTTAATTGTAATGATTGCATTGTTCCTTAATCTTCGAATTGGGATCCCGCTTCTTATTATTTTTTGCAGACTGTAAGAGCAATTTTATAAAAGTAAACTTGAACTTTCGATTATGTCAAATAGAATTTCCGATTCTGGAGCTCCCAAAGGATCTACAAAACGAAAGTATGTTTCGATGTCCAACAAACAAAAAGTGGAATTGCTGCAAAAAAATGGATAAAGACATGAAGAATGTGACAGAGAGGTTAGTGAAAACGAAAAAATTTCGATTGACAAGTTAGTCGGTATTCTCGGCACAGCAATTAACGGGACTTGAACAGCGGAACAAGAAATTATGTCTTTTTATAGAATTAAAGAGAAAGTATTATCACATAAAATGAAACAACTTACATTGAGAGAAATGTTTAACAAAGTAAACAAATAAATATTAAGTTTTTTTTTCTGCATGCCATCTTACGAGATTTAAACTGATGAACTATAATCCGGAAAAATCGATAATCCGGAATCGCCGAAGTCCCGACGAGTCCACGACTTCCTTGTACGGAATATTAAATTATACGCATTTTTTTCTTGCATTTCATTTAAACGTATTGGATTGAATTAAATCTACTTCGCCGACAGAGCATTAACTACAACAGAATAAATGCACTCTTTAAAATTCACTTTATTTTAGCATAGCGACACTCTGGCGCTAGGTTCACTTAATATTTCATTCATATTATAACTCACAATGCACAAAATTTATATCATATGAAGAATTATCTAATGGTTGCCACATGTTCTGTTCAAATACTATAATAAAGCTAGAACGATGTATAAAAGAAATTAAGCAAACAAAACAAAAATGAAACAGTTTTTTACTGACGATTCAGTATTTCTCATGCAATTAATTCAGTTCTCACTTCGCGACAAGGCAAAAATACATAAAAACTCAAAATATCTGTATTAAAAATTACGCAGTAAATCTTAAACACTTATTTCATCGAAAAAATTCCATAAAGAATTAAGCATGATGTAATTCGCAATAATAAATGAATGCGTTATCTTTGTTGTTGCGTAGCTTAGTCTCTCTAGATTGGCAACAAATCTACGATTCTGCTGTTTCAAATGTAAACAAATATGTCCGCCATGTTATTTTAAACGTAAGGCTTAACCACACTTAAACAGCTTTTAAATTGTTATGATAATTGTCAAATCAAATATTGCTTTGCAGATTTACGAAAGGCATAAAAACCTTAACCGGAAGATAAGAACAACATAATTCAATCATTTTTAAAGCAAAAATTGTACAATTTACAAACATATAAGAGTAAAGAAATTGAGATCACCGAGCTGAGTAACAAAGTGGATATATATATATAAATGTTTAGTGCGGCCGATTGCAACCAAAATGCGAGGTGCACATCTACATGTTATAGTAGTCTTATATACAAAATTTCAACGTTCTGAGGCTACTCGTTTTTGAGTTATGCGAGATACGTACTTACGTACATACGTGTGTACAGACGCCACGAAAAATTCTCTTCGGAATTAATTTTAAAGCAGTTTTATAATTTTTTTGAAGGAAAAGAGCCTTTTATTCTGTCCTTACGTACAGATGACACGCAAAAACATCGTTAAATTGCATTCGATAGCGGTCAAAAGGGATATCTTCGTTGAAATATGCTGCCTGAAACTTTTCGGGATTACAATACTTCCTTTTTACACTTCGTACAAGGAAGTAAAAAAAAAAAAAAAAAAAAAAAAAAAACTGATATTTTTCAAATTTAACGGTCGTCCAAAAGGGCTTAAGGTTTTTTACGCTCTTGCTGAACTTGTAGTCTATCTGTGTGCTGTTACACTCACTCCTACTAATCCCCCCCTTTTTTTTTGTCTTTTTAGCTTTATTATTAAGCATAATTTTCTTATGAGATGCATAATAAAACGAATTCAAAATTCAGGATTTCAGCTGCTCATGGGCGATAATATTCGGTGGCAACGATTTGAAACATTTTACGCCACTTATAATGATTCAAGGCAAAATGCCGTTTCGCGACTAATATACTAATATCCCATTGCGGACATGACGCCTCTTTTAGACTAATTATTTTCATAAATACGATATAAAATGCATTTTCTGAACCAAACCCAGTGTAATAAATGTGACAATATTAATTTTAATATTTAATAGCTTTCACAGTTGTTTAACGACAACTTTTAATAATAAGAACAAAATTATTTAAACTATTTTTGTTGCGAAAGGTAACATACTTAACATTTAACAATATTACTGTTTTGAGCTATGTGGGTATTTTAAATAAACATATGCATTTTGTGGTCATAATACCAATTAATGTGACTATGAAAAAATTTCAGAACTCGGACTCCATTTCTGTTTATAGAGCATTTGCATTCAATAAAAATCCCTCATTTCTGCACGCTCTTGACAAAGATTTGTCTACATATTGCAGTATCACAAAATATTTATTAATGAACGATTCTAAACAACTTTCAGTAATTAAATGATTCTTCCAATGAAATAATTAATAATAAGATTTTCTCCAGAACGGGCAAAATTACTTCTCTTCTTACGATTACACCGATAAAAATTTATGTATGATCTTTTCTGCTACATTTATGGCGCAAGATTTAACATCAACTTGAATTTCTTTATTTCTCGATAAGTATTGCAAGACACAGAAACTGTGTAAATTTTAATGTATCGTCGAGGAACCTGACAAGATATCGCAATCATTTCACTATCGACCTTTAGATGCTCTTATCTTATTGGATCAGGAAAAATAAGGCGGGACTACGCATGCGTTGTTTCGCAAATAGGCGGGGTTTCTTCTCACGGCAGGTATCAGATCCTGAAATGATATTCATAAATGTCACGGGGAAGTGCTCGAGTAACTATCGTTGCACATAACTGCTTAGGAAGGAATTGGTCTCATAAGGTGTGTTACTTTGATTAAGGTTAATTTTACCCAGTGCTGGAATGTAATTCGATATTTCAATCGATTTCGGCTCAATCATTTTCATCCATTGCGCATTAAAGCACCGTGCGCGTTAAAACTGAACAGTTAAAGATTCTAAAATTTTGAAGTAACTTAGAGCTTCTACGGATCCTGAAAATTTTAAGGAATTGTGTGCTTATTCCTTCCATAAAGTGTGATCATAACTGGAAGATTCTAAAACAAGAGAAATTTGTGTATAGATCCAGTAGTATTAGGCATAAGGTAAGATTTAATTTAATTTTCTCCATTATGGAAAAAAATAATATTTCGAGCGAGTGCTAAAAATTATAAAATTTTCTTTCTCGTTATTAATCCAAAGGGATAATTTGCCCAGAAGTACTATTAAATTCGTTTTGGTACTTTGCGTCAATTCACTATAAACTTTGATTCACTTTTCAGATTGTTGCCACCCAATATCAGAGAAATTAAGTAATGCAAAATCTGCATAAATGTATGTAGCTATGTTCCTCGCACTGTGGTCAAACAACGGTACCTAAATATTTTTTCCAATTTTGAATAATGTACGTTTCCATCCATTTGAAAGCACAAATTTGGAATTGGTTTTGTTATCTATTTCATATTTTGTAAAAATTTAACGAATTTTTTATTAACAAACTCCACGATTCCAAAGCGAGCAATGGCAACACTGCAAGAAAAAAAAAATTCTATCTCCATTGCGCGAGACTGTGTATCGGAAATTCTAAAGGTGTGCTCTTTTAAAATTATTTTGCGATATTGCTGTTGAATTGAATTTTATGTGGTTTAAGTACAAAGGACATGATATTTAATAAATAAAGCTAATACGCAAAACGTTAAAAAAAAAACGCCCTTTTACGCGCTTTTTCTTTTTCTTTATTTTTTTAGTATTATATTTATTAGTTGATATATATATATATATATATATATATATATAATAATATTTATATATATATTAGCATTATATTTATTAGTTGATATTTTTTAGTACTTCTTTCTCTTTTTTTTTTTTTTTTCCTGTATTCTAAATCTGTTAGCGCCATCGACTACATTAACTAAATGCTTACAATTTTCATTTTCGAAATGAAACTATTAGTGGCAAGCAATGAATTATAGAATAGTCTATCGAAATCTCCTATAAAGAATGTAATTTTGAAGAGGACATACATTGGAAGGCCCCAACGTTGTTTAAACCTGCCCTGGTATTATTTTTATTTATAAATTTTAGACCAAACTTTCGTTTATGATTTTATTATATGTTGGATTCAAGGCAAGAGAGAAATGATAAATATTAGCCATATGTACATAATGCACCCATCTTGCGCATACATAAACTGCCTAAAAGATGAAAGAAATGCTTTCTAATCAATACAATCTTATGCAACCTAAAAATTACAAAGACAATAAATTTTAACAAAATATGCCTGAAAAATAACAAATGTAAATAAATTATTTGTTATGCGTAGCTAAACTTTCGCTTTTTAAAGATAAAATTAAATACAAGTTCTTTCTCTCTCTATATATATGATTGTGATGTTATTTATAAGAAATATCAAAATATTATGCGATATTTATTAAAAATAGTTTCATTGTTTGAAATCATTAAACTAGTTAATTTAATCATATATTAGTTAACTTAAAGTTAAAATCAATTAGATTAGGACTGCTTTAACCCGTAACCTGTCAAGAACGAGTAGCCGTGTAAACGCTGAAATTTTGTATATGGAACTGCTATAACATGTAGTTGTGCACCTACCTTTTTCTTTACAATCGGCTGCACCAATCGTAACTATATATATTCTCTGTTACGTGGCTCGGTGAGCTTAGTTTTTTGTTCTTATATGTTGGTCAATTGTGCCTTTTTTGTTTTAAAACTAATTGAATTAGGTGGTTTTTAGATTCCGGTTAAGGTTTTTATGTATTTTGTTAAATTGTATGCAATAGTTATAGAATTATCAACAATTTAAAAGTTTAAGTGGCGAATTAAGGACCTCATGAATCGCCATTTGTTTATATTTGAAACTCAGTAGAATAGTGAATTAAGTATGTTTAAGTACGTTCAGTGCCTTTTTGTCGAGTGGGACCAAAGGTAAACTTAAGTTTCGTGCCCCGAAAAATCTGCCTTCTTGCTCGCTCTTCGAATTGCTTGTTTTTACGTAAAAACTCTAATTTTAATTGTAAAAAAAATGTTTTTTTAACAGTTTTAACTGTATTTGGTGTTCTGTGTTTAACAATTTTTAATGAAGGTGTTTTGAGTTTTTTTGTATTTTTGTCTTGCCGCGAAGTGAGAACTGAATTACTTGAATAAGAAATCTCTCTAATGAAATTCGAGGAAATATGTTTAAATGATGTGCAGCAAAAAATGTGTATAATAAGCCGTACAATGAAATCATGTGATGTCTACATCAGACACTTTTTTAATTGATTTCTCGGATTCATTTTATAGTGCTTTCTACAGACTATGACGATAATCAAAGGCCTCACATTATGTGCTAAAAAAACTTTTGATTATATATCGGTTAATATACAGGGTGGTTATAATTAAAGTCTCACTTGCAAATAGTAATAAAAGGGAAACTACTAGACTAAATGTTATCAAACTTGGTAATCGTTTAAAGGTGGTAAAAAAAAAAAAAAAAAAAAAAAAAAAAAAAAAAAACTCGCCACCAGGGCAAAATGGCGCTGTATTCAATATTGCTAAATGAAATAAGGGTCGGAATCTAACTTAATCTTTTGTTACACAGGTTTAACATGTTGTCTATCCTTAAGAAACGTTGACATAAGGAAAAGTACAATTTAAAGGCGTTAAAGACGATAAAAGCCATCCGTGCAACGGAGATTTTCGTCCGTGAAAACCACAAATTAGCGATTAGAAAATGTGAGATCGTAAATCACTCGCAAAAGTGTGCTCATTCTGGAAATGATTTTCTTACAGATCGCTAATTTGTGATTTTGGAAGCCTGAATTCGGCTCTAAGACATTAAGATATCGGTTTTAAATGTTTTTAGTCGTTTCTAAAACGAAACTGCTTGTGGGATGAGGCAAAACCGCATGACTTGTATTTGGCTCACGGCATGAAGAAGCAAATGATTTATGCAAATAATCTAAGCAGTTTGGAGTAATTGAAAGATGAGATACACAGACATGTCCGTAACATTCACCCTGATATGCTAAGATGTAATGAGGATGCCTTGTAACACGATTCAGAAACGATTAAGCACATTTTAAACCGATGTCTTATTACGTTTAATAATATTGTATACAGAGCTATTTTAGCCCTGGTGATGAGTGTTTGAACTTTTGTTTTTCTCGGAAAACAAATTCCCATGATTTCCTATACAAGATTGCAAAGTTTGATAACATTTAGTTCAGTACTTTTCCTCTTACAACCTTTTGAAAGTGGAACTTTAATTATAACCACTCTGTATACACTGACTACCAATAAGTATTTGGACACCTATGCAAATGACGATATCTGCGGTCCTAAGGTACGTCCCGGACTCCGCCGGTATATATCGTGTAGGAAACAGCATCGGCTTTAGTCGCATGCAAGCTGCCTCGCAGTTCGGAGCTCTCTGATTTCGAGAAAGGTATAATTATCGGGTATCACAAATGTGGCCTATCCTTAAGGGACATATCTAGCGATCTGAAGTACCCAAAATCGACAGTGGCCTATGTGATTAAGAAGTAGAAGGTGAGCGGTGATTATCGGAATGTTCCCAGAGTCGGCAGACCAACGAAACTGGGAGATAGAGACCGACGAGTGCTGTCCAGAGAATTCGGAAGAACCGCACCCAACCGATGGCCCTCATCCGCGACGAGTTTCAACAGTCATCCGGGATTATTGTTTCAATGAATACCACCCGTAAGGTAGCACATCTGCTTGGTTTTCATGGTCGTGCTGCTGCCCATAAGCCTTTGATCACTAAATACAACCGCGCTGCTCGGTTCATGTGGTGCAAAGTACATCGAAATTGGACCGTAGATCAGTGGAAACGGGTTCTCTGGAGTGAGAATCAAGGTTCACCCTTTACCGTTCGAATGGCAAGGTCTGGGTCTGGCGTCTACCTGGAGAACGTCTCCTGCCAGAATGCATTGTGCCAACAGTCAAGTTCGGCAGAGGTGGAATTATGGTCTGGGGGTATTTCTCCTGGTATGGGCTGGGACCCTTGGTCCCCCATTCATGGTAAGCTCTCCGATGTCTACTGGACTATTTTGGATGACAATGTGCTTCCTACGTTGTTACAGTTTTACGGGTTGGACCCCTGTTACTTTCAGGACGACAATGCCAGTTGTCATGTTTCGACGTTAACCAAGGCTTGGTATGGTGCCAATGGAGTTCATAGAATGGACTGGCCTGCCCAGAGTCCAGACCTGAACCCTATCGAGAACCTCTGGGACGAGTTGCATCGCCGAATTCAGGGGTGCACTACCTGTGCAAAATCGGTGAAGGAACTTCTACGTCTTCTCCAAGCCGAGTGGAAGAAAATACCACTAGCTGTCATACAAAGACTTGTGGAAAGTATGCCCTGGAGGGTCCACACTGTAATTACCTCTCGTGGAGGCTCTAGCACCTATTGATTTTGAATAAAGTTAGTTTTTCTTTTCTATCACAGGTGTCCAAATACTTATTGGTAGTCAGTGTATAATAAATTGCAGAAAAATGAAATGCAGAAAAAAATGTGTATATCTTAATAGACTATAGAAGGAAATCACGGGGTCCCCACCTCAGATTTTTCATATTAATCTGATTATTAATTCTTTGTAATCGTAGTGTTTAGTGAATAAGCTGTACAATTTTTTAAATATGACTGACAAGAAATAAAAGTGATTAGATCTTATTTTTGCTGCTACAGAGAGTATTATATATAAGAATATGAGTTTTTATTATTTAAAATATCATCTTCGCAAAATCTGAATTTATCTGCAGTATTGAACCATAGGTAAATTTTGCTAAACAACGAACTTTGTAGAGTCATTAGGTTATATCGATGCAGGAACGTGAAAAATGGGCAATGCCCTCGTCGAAGTTCGAACCCCGAATCTCCCGAACACGTATCGAGAATGCTTCCAATTGCATCCCAGTAGCATGTAGAAAGAAAGAAGCAGAAATCTTCATACCGGAAACATTTATCAAAATTAATTTGTATATAAATCTGGAAATAGCAAAAACAGAATTTTAGAGAGTAGAAAGAATGGAGGACATTAGAATTAATGCTGAAAAATGAAAGTAATAACGAAAAATG